CGCGCTTGGGAGTGTTGGGTTCGTTGTCTCCTTGTAGAGTCGGGGATGCTTTGGTGGCGGCAATGACACCACCATCTTCCGCGTCCTCCGGGATGAGGATCGCGCCGTTTTCGAACTTGAGGCCGTTTTGCTCGATGATCGACTTGAAGCGGGCACTCCTGCCAAGTCGGATGTGTCCCTGATCAGAAAGAGATCTCATGATGAAGAAGGGGGGTTTGGGGCTGAGATGGGAAGGGGGGATGAAAGAGACGACAACAACAACAAAGTACATACGCATTCCTCGCCCAGGCGATGCCATTCTCCTTGGCCACTTCGTTCCAGTCTGGCTTGACTTGCTCGCAGTGCTTGAGGACGCTCAGGAGGAACCTAAACGCAGGGTCTCCCACACCACTGGCTGTTGCTCCGACTCGTGGCGCCATCTTGATTTGCCCTGGCAAACAGGTAGGAATGAGGGGAATTGAGTGTATGGAATGGATGGATGGGCTGGAGGAACGATGAATTGAAAAAGGCGTTGAGAGAGATGATTGAGTGACAAAAGAAGTGATGGTTGAGATGGAAGTTGTCTGTCGTCTGTGTGTGTGTGAAACGCGTGAATGCACACGACTCAAAAACAAAGAGAACGAAAAAGAAAGCACGATGAGGGAGGTTATCCGAACAGACACTAACGGGACATTGAATCTGGAACGCGCTGGCGACAATAAGAACAGAGGGAACTGTGAGAGTGAGAGAGCAGACAAGGCAACAAACTCTTTCTGCCACTGGTGCACGTGGTCATTTTACTCTGGAGTCCAATAGTTCTGGTCCGTGACTTTCACCGTATCAAACTTATACTCGCCTGTCTGCCTTCCCTTGGGATCTTGGAAGCCTTTCTCAGTCTGGAGCAGATACAGATTCGGGTCCTGGGTCATGTTGAGGTAAAAGGGCACGTCCAGACTGTTGAGCTCGCCCTCGACCCATTCAACTCCGACCGTCGAGATACCCTCCCACTCGCGCTCGATCCTGTCCTTCATGGTCAATGGTAGCTTGGTGGTCATGGGACACTGGTACCACTGTGCAAAGTAGTCAATCGCCAGCATGATGCGATGCTTGTCGCTCTTGTTGGGCATGCCGGCGTGCCAGAGCCGAAGGTCCCGGAAGCAGATGCTGCCCTTCCGCACCTTGGGCTGGACGGGAGGCTTGATTTTGGCCCGCTCCTGGATGTACTCTTTCTTGATCCAGCCTCGATCGGAAAATGCCTGTTGTTCTTTCTGTGGATAGGCATTGTGAGTCCCGCACCACACCTCCGTCACCCCGTTCCTCTCGTCCGAGTCCTGCAGGTAGATGTTCATCACCAACCCAAACGGAATCTCCGGCCACGCGTGGCTGACATCGCTGTGCACGGCTTGACGTGCCGTCCCGCCCGGACAAGCAACATTGCTGTTGACAAAACGGAGCTCGGGTTTAGGTCCGAGCAGATTTTCCACGACGTGAATCATGTGCGGGTTTGCGTAGAAGTCGCGGTCCAAATATTCGGGTTCGAGTGGTGGGATCTGGCTGACATTCCCTGTTGCGGCACCCTGATTCCAGTGCATATGCTTCTTCCGCAGGAACTCGACGTTGTCTTGTACCATGCGGTTGTATAGGCGGTCGACGAGCTCGTCGGGAATGGCGTTCTCCAGCACCACGAAGCCGTCGCGGTGGAAGTACTTGAGACATTCTTGCAGTGTTTCCGGTCGGGTATTTCCTGAGTGAAGCTCCTCATCGGTTAGACGGATCACGACAGGATTGTCGCCGTGTTTCTCAACATCGGTAATCAAAGCCCCATCAACATATGTCGGTGTCCTTGAAGCTGGCGGTTCCATTATCGCCGAGGGTGCCATGGTAATCTTGACAATTCGAGGATGCGATCTGAGAGCCGTGGTGACCAGAGATAGAAGTGCTACAAGGGCGACGATGGCTTTCGCTCTCCACCTCTTTCTTCTTGAATTCAATGCCCGAGGTTTGAAGATGTCAATCCCTGAAAAATTGTGGTACGAGTCGGTCTTCCTCTGGCCATCGGATTCCCCCACTTGTGCGTTGGAAGCGGCACACTGAGGACGGCTGTTTCCACCGGAAGCAAGAAGCTGACGCTCGTGTCTCGAATCAAAGGCTGCGACAAGGTCCAGTTGGGTATCAGCAGACGGTTGATAATAGCCATTTAGGCTAATGGGAGTGGGTTACCTCTCCATCATGCACCCCTCCTCAACTCCCCACAATCCCCATATCGACTCGCGTATCGCCCGTTGTCAACTAGACCTTGGTAACAATTCAAGCAGCTAGTACAGGTCATAGCCTTTATCAAGCCGTCTGCGCCCCGTTGGCCGGTAGCCAATCATGAGGCCTGACTCGTGAAAATCAATGACACAGCGCAGGTCGGAGTGTGGCCGTGTCGGATGATCGACCATGGCTATTACTATTTTGCCATGATCACCCAGAGAATTAGGGCGATGAGTGGACCTTGGAGTTGCACTCTGAGCGTTAGCTGGTAGCTCTTCCAGGAAGAATGGCCAGGTGCGAACTTGCCTTGTGATCTCTTCGCCATGCGTGTTCGCCATCTACCTCGGGGCGACAACCATGAAACGGTACAGCAATGTAACACCAGCCCGAGAATCTCCTATTCCATCGAGCGTTGACGTCTCTCAGACTCCAGAAACTGCTACCCGAGGGCGTTCAGCAGAGCTGGAGAACATCCTTGTATACCGTTTGGGGAGATTGTCGTGCACCCAATGTTTCCCCGGACTGTGGTCCGGACACTTTCCCCAGATGTCTCCTCAGTGGATTCTCTTTGCCAGGAGAAATACAAAAGCATGGACATAGTCCGTGGACTTCTTTGGTGCCCGCATATCCTTCCTGTTGGCTCGATACTCGGTGTACTTTTGCAATCATGGTCAAACTCTTTTCCCAGATTCCCAAGTCGCAAACATTGGTCGTGGGAGGTCAGGAGTTTCCGGAGGTGAAGTGGTGGAAGCACAAATCTCTCATCCACTTACATTTCCTGTGTGCGATTCTGCTGCTGTCGTCGGCCACGAACGGCTATGATGGATCCATGAGTAAGTTGTCTCGTCTGACTTAAGACAAGCCAAAGCAACCTGACCATGAGGGAAGTGAACGGCCTGCAAACGTTGAGCTATTGGCAGAACACTTTTCATCGACCTTCTGCCTCCACACTCGGACTCCTGAACGCCATTTTCTCGGTCGGACAAGTCGTCGGCCTACCTCTGGTGCCGTTTTTGGCAGACCACATTGGCCGCAAGTGGACCATCTTGCTCGGGAGCTCCCTGATTTTCTTGGGCGTCATCTTACAGACTGTTTCCATCAACATTGGCATGTTCATCGCCTCTCGTTTCATCATCGGCCTCGGAATCGTGTATACCCAGAGTTGCTCGCCGATGCTCATCACCGAACTGTCTCACCCTCAATATCGTGCAAGGTTGACAACAATCTACAATACTCTGTGGTATCTGGGCTCCATTATCGCTAGTTGGACAACGTACGGCACTCTCAAGATGCAGAGTCAATGGTCGTGGAAGCTGCCCAGCATATTGCAGGCCTTCCCATCGGTCATTCAACTCTTCTTGATCTGGCTGGTGCCCGAAAGTCCCAGGTACCATATCGTCAAAGGCCGCCACGAAACAGCGAAAAAGATATTCCAGCGCTTCCACGGTCCTGCATCCGGCCAGGAGTTCGTCGAGAGTGAATACCGCGAAGTGTTGGAAACCATGGCGCTGGAAAAGGAATTTGCGAGCCGAGGCATCTCCGAGCTCTGGTCGACCAAAGGAAATCGACACCGCTTGCTGATTGTCGTCACCGCGGGCATCTTCAGCCAGACTGCGGGCTCGGGGATCGTGTCGTATTACATCTTCCTCGTCTTGTCCCAAATCGGCATCACGGATTCCAACTCCCAGCTCATCCTGAATGGCTGTCTGACCATTTTCAACATGTGTATCGCCACGGGCATGGCGTTTGCCGTCGACAAACTGGGCCGGCGGCCTCTTTATCTGACGGCAACCTTCGGCATGTGCATTGCCATGACGGGCTGGACGATTGCCAGCCAGCAGCAACAGGCCCACGGAACCACGGCCGCGGGACGGGCGGTGATCGCACTCATCTTCATCTTCATGTTCTTCTACAACCTTGCCTGGTCAGGCCTGTTGATCGGCTACGTCGTGGAGATCTCGCCGTTCTACCTGCGGTCGCGATATCTTACCGTCATGCTGCTCAGCGTGGCGGCCGGCCTGTTCTTCTCCAACTATGTGAACCCCGTGGCGCTCGAAAACATCCAGTGGAAGTACTATCTGTGTTACATCATCTGGCTGGCGATCCAGTCCGTGGTAGTGTACTTCTTCTACATCGAGACAAAGGGTCACAGCCTGGAGACGATCGCAATCTGTTTTGACGGCGAAGACGCGAAGATCGGCGGCCAGGCGGCGACGGCGAAGGGACGAGAGCTGCTGGGGAAGTTGGAGGACAAGGACGTCAAGGCTGTTGAGACGCACATCGAGCGGGTGCGATCGACGGATTAGACTGCACACAGAAGGGTATACTGAATAGAAAGGGTGCTGCGCATAGACGAGGATGAAGCCAGGAGGTCGACGCAGTCAGTGACGCAACCAAGGTCAGGCGAGTTTAGAGTTTACGGATTGGTCTTAGCGTCTGGGCGGCGAAGCATTCTTCCACTCGCCTCATTAAAGCAGCACCCAGATCGTTCTCAATGAGGAAGGCACCATATGTCTCCACATGTCTTTAGGCTTGAGCCTCATCCCTGGTCCCTCTGCCACGAGATGTACTGTGATTGATCATCCGTAGATGATACGGCCTAGGCTCCAAAGCTCATGTTTCCTCTGTCTGACCGAGCAATCAGTGTCTCCAGCTCGAATAGTTCATCTCCAAGTTGTCTTGGAGGAGATGGTAGCCCTGATTGAAGACAGGAATGGTACACTGTCCCCTTGTCGGTTCCTTGCGAGGGCCACTGCTCCAATGACTTATTCGAGCCCCTCTTCGACTTTGGCACCGACAATATGCTTTTCTTCCTCACTCTCTTCGTCCTCAGAGTCGGTTTCCTCCACCTTTGGCTGCATGGCTTTCTTGCTCAGAGGGGATTTGCCCTTCTTGGCGGGTGGGCCTCCATCACTGTCAGCCTCATTCTTTGGCTTGCGCTTTCGTGATGCTGTAGCCTTGGTTGACGCAGCTGAAGCTGGATTACGGCCCTTTCCACGAGTCCCCGCAAGACCCCATTTCTTCATGATTTGCCAGTGTCGATGATAGCTGTAAGGAAAAAGCGGAAATCAAATCAGCGTCCACAGCCCCTTCAGATAGATACCGGGCATGGGAGATATATTTGCGGGATAGAACAAGAGCCATCAATATGAAACTAGAAAGGCGACTTACCATGCGCTCTCGCCCTTCGCACCCGTCTCCTTTGCGACCTCCTCAAAGTTGATCTTGGGCTTCCCATCTGCATGCTTGAGGCATGTCATGATGAACGTGAAGTCATCGACAGAGTTGGGTGCAGGAGCCATCTTCTGATATCAGTCAGTCGATGTAAGTTTGGAAGTTTGAAGGGAAGAAATGGAGGTGTTGGCACAACAGCCTGGGCTAACTTACAGGTTGTTGCGAGAAAGAAGTTTGGTTTGACGTTTGCTATTTGAACTTGGAATGGTGGAAAGGTCCGAAGAACAGAGGACAGTGGACAGGATGTTGAACTGGAGATCGGCAAGATGTAGAGGAAAGAAAAGAAAATTGGACGGTGGAAGAAAGGTTTAAATAGAAAATGCCGTAGCATGTCGCAGTATGGCTCAACGCACCTGGAACAACGTCCTTCTGGATAAATGAGCCCGGACCGGCTCATGAACTTCTCACTTCTCAACCATTTCTACTGGGATTTACGCCTAAACAATAGAGAAACGTCAAGGGAATGTGAGATTTGATCAATTCATTCTGCTTTCTCTCAAAAGTTGAGAGTGGAAAAGCTATCTCAACTCGTTCTTGGGGATGCTATCACGAGCTACATGCCCTATGGTGTTCAGAAGAAGAGTGATCCACCCAAGTGTCTCTCTTCTCCGATGCCAATGTCGTGGCTATCCTGTGTTCTTTCTGATGCGCCAGCACCGCAACTATCTTCCATTCCGATTGATGTTCACCAATACGAGGAACCAAGGAACCAAGAAACATTTGATGCACCTGCATGATGGCACAAAGTCTCCTTGCCTCGCTAGTTACCGTCCTTAGGCGGCACTGTGTCAGTCTTTGCAACAGACCCAACGGCTTCGATCATCTTCGCATTAGGAACATCCGTCTTGATCTCCTTCTTGATGGGAGTCGCTTCGTCATCACCCGAACAGCCATCGCTTGGAGTCGCAGGAGAGACTTTCTTGACACCTTTCCCTTTTGGCTTCTTCTGTTCATCATTCTTATCCCCGGCGCCGAGCTTGGGGGCTTTGGTCTTGGTAGCTTTACCGCGAGCTTTCTTCGGGGGAGGTTGTTCCGTAGCTTCGTCACTGCTGACATCGCGACGTCCGACGGGATCGATTCTCGCCAAGTTGTAACGAGGGCCCTTCTTGGTAGTAGCCTTGCGCTTGACACCGGTAGCAGAAGTAGATTTTGGGTCGGCCTGATCGTCCATGCTGTTCCACACCGCACCATCCTCCTCCAACTGCTTCATGATAGTACGGAACTTGTTGCTACAGAGCAAACGAATCAGTAAACCAATTGAACCTTTTGCCGAAGTTGGGATTTTTGGGGATGAAGAGAGAGGGGGACAGAGGAGTAGCCATGATCAGACATGCCCCAGCAGCAAATGAACGGTGGACTCGTGGTTGGATAATAGGAAGCAAGTGGACAAGCCACCACATCATCTTCGAGGCTAACAACACAAAGGAAAATGGAAGACTTACGCCGCTCCACCCTTGCTCATCTTGAGTTCTTTGGCAAGCGCTTCGAAGTCGACAGTGACCTTCTCTTTGGCATACTTGATACAAGCAGCAAGGAAAGCCTCGTTACCCACAATTGGACTCATGATGAATGAAGGATGCTCTTCGAGTTGTAGCGACTTGAGAGGAAGAATCAAGGGGTTGAGGAATCGGGAATCTGCTGGACGCCTAGATACACGAGAGATGGATGATCAGTAAGCCTGCTCAATGAATCTGAGAAGGAAAAACAGCCGTACCAGTTGTATGAGGATATTGGAGAGATGCCTGAGAAGTATCGGTGATGGGGAAGTTGGATGAAGGTGAGGTTAGACAAGATGGAGAGAAATTGAAATGCAGGTTTATTGATGGAAAAGTGAAAGACTGCCCGCGAAATTTCGCCTAGAGGTTCTCTGAATCACATAGCAAGCGATGCTACTGATCGAGGAAACCATCTGTCGACAAAGGTCGGGCATCAGACTGACCCGGTAACAATGCGCGAGCGACAATGCGCGGGCAGCAATCTTGTATTGACTCCCACAAGCAAACAAACACAACATGAGGGATTGGAATTGCCCCTTTCACGTTTCTGGTTCTCACAGGGTTTGAATGCCGCTTGTCCATGACCTCTGAGATCTTCAACAGCTGCCGTGAACCATTCGGACGACATGGGTTGTCGAAATGGTGTCCTTCAAGCCTGATACCAGCTCCCCCTTTAAACCCCCATGCAGCAGCTGGCAGAAAGGACAACTGTGCCTCTGTTGTCTAAGGGGCTCCTTATGGACCGCATCACCGGACGGTGTTATAGTTGTTCTTCCCTCCGCCCTCTTCCACATCGACCAGGATTCAACGCCAGCGAGACCATACCCAGCTCGTACAACCAGACCGCGACGTCAAGATCCAGGGGCAGGGTGAATGACGATACTGCCCATGGAGTGTCGGACAAAAGCAAAGAGAAACATCACATCCTAATATCCTGTGGGGGAGAATTGTATTATTGCCAGAGTTATTGACGGTACTTGGGACACAAGATGCAATAGCTCTCTTCGTGGATGACCTATTGGGGTTGAAGCGTGTCGCTCCCACTGTATTCCGCATTCCATTTCGAAGCTGCAGTGCGGTGGTGTATCCTGTTGACCAGAGAAAGCAGGATGGCTCGTGCAACATTGCAACTCCAGCTGTAAACCGGCAATCTCCATGCGTCGAGAAGCAAACACTACCTACGTCACGCGGCTTCTCTGAACACGACCCAGGGCGCACGACACAATGTTACACCGGGAGTCCAATCCTATCCGAGCCGTGGTTCGCCCGTCGCAGAGTGTATACCCAGCCGGGTGATGGTCTTCATCGCCCATCAAGACGGCGGATAGTTTGGTGGGCCGCGAGGTTCTCGAACGTCTGACGCAAGGGATGACTTCTCGGTGCAGAGTCAACGGTGCTGTGCAATGCATCGTTCTTTTCACCCAATGCGGCATGCGGGACGGCGAGTTGATGAACTTGCCGGCAAAGTCCACGCGAGGAGCTCCGTCGTCCGAACTCGGTCCAGATCCGAGGGGGAAAAAAAAAACCAGAATCGCGACCCAAGATTATCCCCGGTGGCCAGCAAGGTTTGCGAAAGAGCGATCCCTTGCGCCATGCACGACTTTAGCTCCGTCGAAACTCGGGGACACACAAGCAGCCTAACAGTACTTTGTACGCTGGACGCAACCCAGAGCAATTGCGCCAAAGGTGGTGTGAGAACAACCTTTTGGGGGGTGGTCAGAGCTTGGAGCTTGGGATCTCGCTTGTTCGGTAGCGAGCTGAGGTGACGGCAAGTTGCGACAATTGCTGACTCGCTGACTCGCTGACCTCGCTGACTCGGCGGGCCTGGCCTGGCCACCATCGCAGCTAAGGCTTTTCAGACTTTTGTCTTCCACCACGTGGCTGTTCGGCGACGCCGCGAATGTGGCTTGTGCACTAATTCATCAACTATCGGAAACCCACGTGGACTCTACGTCCGCCCCCAAAACGTCGCTTAGAGTCTAAAGACTCCACGCCCACCTATCGCTGCCAATTGACCTCTATAACAAGAATTGTGTGGATGTTCGCATAGCATGTTGCCGGCTTGGGGCGCTGGTAAAATGGGGAAACGGACCACAAAAAGATGCGGCGGTCTTTAACAATCTGCGAAAAGAGAGAAGAGCGGTCTAGAACATCTCGCCTGCTTTGTCCCACTCCTGCCATGTTCGTTCCTGTATCGATTGGCGGGACGTTCGATTCCGGCATGCAGCTAGAACATGTCGTGGCACTTTCAATAGCGTCAGGTCTTGTGCGATACGAGGACCCAGCACTTTGGAACGCGACGGAAAGTATCTGGTCAGGAGAGCCTGGGCAATGCTGGTCCATCTTTTGGGTGACGATCTGGAGACTGCGACTGCGACTGCGCATACAGGAACATTGTGTCGTAGACGAGGTATGAGGATCAAGGGTGTGAGGATGTCCTCAGACTTGTTGTCAATTATCTGGTATTGTACAGGTTTTAATTGCTATCCTTCAGTCACCAAGTCATGGCCACGGGTTCATATGTGCCCGCGCGAATAATGTACATGAGCATAGGTTCCATCATCTATGCTTCTGCTGGCCCAAGCCTTTTCTCCAAGACTGGGTGTTCTCTGTACCAGCCTGAGATCGGGATGCCTTTGAACCTCTCCGTGATGTCGCTATCAAGATATGTGTGATAAGACAGAGGTTGTGGTTAGGACCTCTCGGTTACTCTGAGCATGAATGCACGAGGCTAGGAGAAGATGCTGTCTCTCTGTGAACAGGTCTGGTTTTTGTGTTTCCAAATGCTAATCCCCGATCCCAACCATGCTAACATGCTTCATTTCTCAAGCACGTCCGTGTTGACCCTTTCCCACCTTTCCTAAGACCCATCGCTTGAACGCAGAAGACTTTAAAAAAAAATAAACACACACACATGAGATGCCAGGTGAATGCAGCAAAAGAGGAGGCGGAAGAGCAGTTTGCTGCTGTCGTGGCTGCCCCATGAAGCGAACATAAAACACTTGGAGAGACCCATGCGATCATGTTGTTGAGAAGCCTGGGGAATGCTGTCGACCAACTTTTGGCCAGTGGAAATTGCAGATAAAGTCGCACGGTCTCCTCTAGAATTTTATTGCCTCCCACAGAAAAATTCCGCGGATGCAGGAGAAGCTAAGACGAGCGCGCTGGTCTGTCGTAAGGGTGGACTTTCTTCTGGGTTGAAAGATAGATGACAAGGCAAAATTGCTAGTAGGGTGAGGTTCAGTAGCTCGTTCGGGGAAAGGAACCTCGCGCTGCAGCTGTTTCACCCCCATGACATCCCTTTTCGTGTCGTTTCATGTTACTTCTGACACTGAAATATTTCCCACAGCCCTCGTACTTGCACCTATAAGGTTTCTCTCCCGTATGCGAGTAAGTGTGAATCTTTAATGAACTCGGCCTGGAGAAGGGTTTGTGGCAAGTCGGGCATATGTAGCGCTCGTGGCTGTGAGGGTATGAGTTGTGGACGGGGGGATAGTACTGAGGAAGCTGCCACGGTGGCCCCGCTGTATGGTCGATGGTTGCCACCCCAATGTTAGGAATGGGGCCCGGGA